AGCAAGATTTAGTTAATTAAATGTCAAACTTGTGGTCATCAGCTGGCCCTTGAGAAACTGCACAATGGTTAATATAGTTTGCTATTAGCTCTCTATTTTTTCTATACCTCTATTCATCTTGCTTAAATGTTATTTGGGTTCATGGTCCATAAGCAGGAGATGTTTACAGTACTTTGAGAAAAACTGAGTAACTTACCTCCTTAGTGTATTTATCTGTCTTAACTTTCTTTCTATTTCCCATTTCCCACTGTGTCTTACATCTAAAATCTGTCCTTTCAATCTCTTTATAAGACCCCTTTAGTAAAAAGAAAGTCATCAATAGAAGAAAGGAGTTACAGTAGCAGGAAAACAGAGGGGGTTTTAGGAGAGGTTTCTTAAGAAGTGGGTGTGACAATAGAACTGAGAGAAACAGGAATTTGGGACTTGTGAGCCAGATCAGATTTCAATACAACATTGTCAATTTGCCTCACGGAGAATATGTTGTTAGTCACAAATACAATGATTCCTGTGACCAGAGTAACAATTGTAAACATTAGGGCAAGAAAAAATAAAACATGAGGGTACGATGTGTTCCACCCTCCTTTTCCCCCAGCTGGAACTTTGTCAAGCAGCATTGGAGGTCGGTCGGGCTTCGCCAAATTTGACCTCCTCTTTTCAAATCCTTACTTCTCATGGGTGCCGGGCATTTTTGTAAAGAGATCCTGACATACCTCTCTGGTTAAAGGTCTTTTTTTTGAGACAGGGTTTTGCTTTATAGTTGGGTGTGGTCTTGAACAATGTAACCCAGGATGGCCTCGAACTCACAACAATCCTGTTTCAGCCTCCTCCGTGCCACTACCTTGCCTGGCTTCTGGTTGAAAGTCTTTAATGACTTTCTACTCATAAAAACAAGCCCTGCCCCCCAGCAAGTCCCATGTCCTATGGGCCAAGAGTTTTGGAGGCCCTCAGGCCTGCAGCATAGCAAAGCCTCCAGACTTAAGCCTCCAGAGATGGCCCTTAAGGGTTTCATAACAAACAAACAAACAAATAAACAAACAAACAAACAAAAAGGGCTGGGATGTAACTAAGTGGCACCATACCTGCTCGGCAAGCTTAAGGTCCTGGTTTCATCCCCAGTACCCCCCCCCAAAAAGGGGACTTATTAACAGATATACAAGACTGCAAAGAGACCAGAGGGCTTATATGAGAAGGACATAAAGAGGAAATGCATGACTCGATTAGGAGACAGTTTCTTTTTTAAGCAGTGGCAAAGTTTATTCAAGAAAGCAAAAATGAAGAGTAGGAGAGAAACTGGCTCTGCAAAGCAATCTTGGTCTTGGTCTGAGTAGAAAAAAAGAAGGTAAGAGTAAAGGTACATACTGTGTGGGGGGAACACAGTGTAGGCTATCACGGAAAGTTATGATAGCCAGGAGACACTTATTTTTAAGAGCTTTTAAGTGACAATATTCCTGATTTATGGATTGAAGGTTTTGAAAGGACTACAGAAAGGTTACTAACCATACTGCATCTCATAGAAGCAATCAGTAGTGATTTTGGAAACTATGTAGAGACCGAGGAGTAGTATACAGGTCATACCTCAATGTCAAGAGCCTACTGTCTTTTCTCTCTTTCTTTCCTCCTTTTCTTTCTTTTCTTTCTTTCTCCTTCTCTCTCTCCTTCCTTTCTCTATTTCTTTCTTTTCTTTTCCTTCATTCCTTTCTCTCTCTCTTTCTCTCTGGCCCTCCTTTCTTTCTTTCCAGGGTCTAGCTTTGTAGTGTAGGCTGGTTTTGAATTCACTATATAGCCAGGCTAGCCTTGGACTCGACTCGTGGTGATCCTCCTACCTCAGCCTCTTGAGTACTGGGATTATAGGCTTGTGCTACCATGCCCAGCTCTTCTTCTTTTTCTTTTCTTTCTTTTTTTTTTTTTCAATGCTTGGGATTGAACCTAGGGCCTCAAGCTAAGAAAGCCTCTACTACAGAGCTATACACTAGCTCCCTGCTGTACTCTTGAAATAGCCTTTGCCCTTCAGAATCCTGGCTTTTCCTGGTACCCATGTTTGCCACTAAGCTCTACTTCAACTGGTGGAGCATGCTGTAATTATGATTCCATACAAAAGGTCATCTTCTTTGTGCCCCTCTAAGGTCAACCCCTCCCCTCTATGGTCAACCCTTCCTTTTCTTGGGGCCTCCACAGCATCTGTGTTGACTATCTACCTCATGATACCCTCCAAGAGATGAACTGTGTTCTTACTGTTTTGACTCCCAGCCACAGTAACAGGTCTGCAGACATGGGTGTTCAAGACACATGAAGGAAGGAACCATGCAATGCCACTGAAGTGGCCTTACTTACAAAGCTCCACAGATTCACCATGATGCACATTTGGGTAATGGCTGAATTAGTGAGAATTATTTAACTTAAATGTTCTGTGCCATAAACAGACAGATCAACTAGACAAAAAATCAACAATTAAATATTAGAACTGAAACAAACTTTTGAACAAATGGACTTAGTAGATGTCTACACAGTGTTCTACTTCACAACTTCAGAATACACATTCTTCTCAGCTGTACATGGGATGTTCTCCAAAATAGACCACATACTAGCTCACAGAACATGCTTAAATAAATGCAAAGGAATTAAAATTATCCCATGCATATTATCAGACCATAGTGCAATGAAATTGGAAATCAACGGCAAAAACCCCACAAGAACTTCATAAACACATGGAAATTAAATAACACCCTCCAATGGTCACCCACCAATGGGTCACAGATAAAATTAAAGAAGAAGTCAGACAGTTTCTTACAATTAAACAATAGTGCCAATACCATATACTGGAACTTACGGGATACAATGAAAGCAGTCCTATGAGGGAAATTTATAGTTGTGAATATCCATACCAAGAAAAGAGTGGGCTCAAATAAATATCCTAATGTTGAACCTGAAGTTTCTAGAAAGAGAAGAAC